CAACTCAGTTCACCAGTCTTTTAGTCTTTTAGATTCTTTCGCAACTATCTCTGGTTTACGAATCAATTACGAAAAAACAGAGGCTCTTTGGATTGGCTCTTCACGTTTGCAAAGAAGAGTAATCCCAGGTTTTCAACATATTATGTGGCCTGTTAATAAAGTTAAAGCCTTAGGGGTCTGGTTCTCTACAACTAAAGGCGAATCTTTAACACTGAACTATGAAGAAAAAAAGGAAAAGATTTGTAGGTTAGTTGATATTTGGCAATTCAGAAGATTAACCCTTCTTGGGAAAATAACGGTCATTAAGAGTTTGCTAGCTTCACAGCTAGTTTACATCTTGTCCCCTCTACCATCGGTGCATCATGAACTTAAAGAAATAAAAGATGTTTTCTTTAAGTTCCTATGGGATGGCAAACAAGATAAGGTCAAAAGAACAGAAATAATCAATGACTTTGCCGAAGGTGGTCTCAAAATGCTAGATTTACAATGTTTCAATCGCGCTCTTAAAGCGAAATGGATTCAACGATACCTAGATCCTCATAACAGAGGAAAATGGAAGCTGTTTGTAGAGTTCTCCCTAATAAGTCACGACATTAACCTTCTTTTGCAAGGTAACCTTAATTCGGATGATGTTGCCTCCCTGGGAATAGAAGACCCCTTTACTAAAGAGCTTATCGAAACGTGGTCACTTCTGAATTTTAAAAAACAACTTTCCAACCTCGGCGAAACACCAATATGGTACAACTCTCTTATACGTATTGACAACAAGCCTATCCACTATCGTAACTGGTCCACGGCAGGTATTTATTTCGTAAATGACCTTTTGGAAGAGGATTCACAATTTTTAACGTTTGATACTTTCAGGGAAAAGTTTGCGATAAAAGCTCACTTTCTACAGTACCACGGAGTGATATGTGCCATCTCGAATATAAAACGTAAAAACCATTGTCCACAAATGAACGGTGCTAAAACCGACACCAGAAGCCTATTATCCTCTGAAGCTTTCTGTAAATTAGCTTACAAATCTTTTCTAACTCAAACCGCCTCTATCCCTTGTAAAAGTCAGGAAAAATGGCTGACAGACTGCAACTTTTGCGACTTTGAAACGATTGATTGGGGTAAGTCATATACCCTTGCTTTCCTATGTACCAACGAATCTAAATTACGTGTATTTCAATTTAAACTTCTGCATAGAAAATTGGCGACGAACTATTTCCTTTTTAAAATTGGAATCAAATCTAATGATCAATGCAGTTTCTGTAAAGAAAGCTCGGAAACTCTTTTGCACATCTTTTGGGAATGCCCTTTCGTTAAATCCTTTTGGAATGAAATCAGTAACTGGATGAAAAAAAGCTCTTGCTTTCTTAACGAAGAATTCTCCTTTTTGACTTGCATAGGCCTCGTGAACGATACTACAAACCTACTTTTCCATCATGCACTTTTAATCGCGAGGTATCACATCTATTTCTCCAATCAAAAAGGCTTTAACCCTTCATGGGAACTCTTTTTTCGAACCGTTCTAAATTGTCTTGATTATGAAAGACGTTATGCCATTAAAACTGGGACTTTAAGAAATTTCAATGCAAAATGGGGAGCGTTTATCCAGGAAAATGATCTTTAGTCTTTTTTCCTTTGTTGAGATGTACGGAGAACAGCAATCGCGCTAACTCTCTAGGGGCCCTTTCAGGACGTTTCTAGGCGGATAATCAGTAATCGTGCGTGGTGCGTGTGTGTGCGTGTGTGGGTGTGCGCGTACTTAAGTAACTTTCGCTACTCTGTATTATATATCTGGACTGTTAAGTAATTACTGTATAGTAGCAATGTAATCATGTATCTATATGCTTTATATGTAAGTAATGTAATTATAAAGTGACGCAAATAAATAATTCCCCCCCCCAAAAAAAAAAAAAAAAAGATTTGGATCAAAGGGATAATTCGTATACGAGATATCCGAGGAAATGTTTTACCCAAATTTATAGAGCTTTGTATGGAGACGCCATGCTGGAGCTCATCCTGATGAGCTCCAACATGGCGGACGCAAACCAACAGAAACATCTGTTACCGAGTTTTGATACAAAAGCGAGAATTTACTCCTAGAGGAACGCATAAACATTAAAGTAATACTTTTTCTAACACTTGAACTGTTTAGATAACAAAATTCCTCGAAACAAGTCACTTTTTTAACCTAAATGGCAGCTCTCTCGGCCGTCATGTAAATGCTGCGTCACGCAAAAGCTTAGAAATTCAAGCGTAAATTGAAGCGAAAATTTGTTTGAAAATTAGTTTTCAGCTGCTCTAATACACCATGAAAGTAAAATCTCAGTAGACTCGATAGTTTTGTGGTTTGAATTTTAGTGCGTTTTGCAAACTTCGAAGGAACTTCGGCTTTTTCTGTTCCGTCAATCATCTTAGAGGAAACACATGCTTACTTGCACGAGTTCAAAAGGTCATTGTTTGCGATTCGTGATTGGTGGATTTCGATCCGTTTTGTTTGTTTCAT